AGGAGATCTAACCAGGCAGGCCACTAAATCACTTAGCCTCACCCCGATCCCTGGGGAGTAGTGTGTGGGGAGGGGTCAGGCCCTGAGAGGGACGGCCAGGCTGCAGGGTGGACCTGGGCACAGAGGCCGCACAAGCCTCAAACAGCAGTGAGGGGAGGGGGCGGGGAGCCACCTGACTGACTGAGTCCTAAGGACCCTAAGGCCTCAGTACCCGTGACCGTGGCTCCCCTCATTTCAAAACCACTTCATAGACAGATAAAGGGAAGCAAGCCGTGAGAGTGGGTAGCCCTGAATGTAGAACGAGAACTAAGACCAGGTCTCTCCCCAGCTTCTGGGTGCAGGGAAACCCCAGGTCCCCAGCAAGTGGCAGCTCCGCTGGCCCATGGGTAGCAGTAAACTCGAAGGTGGGGCGTGGAGTCACTGTGCCACCCAGAGTCAGAGTCAAGGTCACCGGAGACTCCGTGAAGAGGACATCTGTGCATGTGGGAAGCAGATGGGTGGGGCCATCAGAGGATAACAAGCAATCAGGGCCCAGGGAGCCAGCACCCCTCACTGCCTCCTCTGAGCCCCGGACCCGGAATCAAGCCACCACTGAGGAAGGAACTGGCTGAGATGAACCTGCCAGGGCCTGGGTTGAGGCAGGAGGATCAGGAGCCAAGTGCTAGACAGACGTAGGACTGACCTTCTGGATCTTGGGTAACTCTGCCCCTCTCAGGCCTATTTACCCATCCAAGTGTGACCTTGTATGTGGCAGGTAAGTAAGGGAACCAGTGTTTCAGCCAAATGGTGAATCTGGGCCAGGCTTATAACCATACCTTCTTGCCTGTGGGACTGTCCATGCTGAATGACAGGAAGTCCCCTTCCCATGGCGCCACCACCCCAGGCCCTTTATTTCTTCAGCTGTGTCTTTTCTGCTTTGAAAAGTTTTAAAGTCTTAAAAAATAACCCACCTCCTTCTACCCTAGTGTGCCCACCATGAGATGCCGGGGCCACTGCCCCATGGTTTCCATTGCTACAGCAATGATGGCCTCTGAGCTAGGGAGTGGTGGCTGTGGCCAGGCTGCCTCTGCCATCGGGGCCTGTTTCCTGGTGAACCTTTATAATGGGGGTGGCGGTGGGAACAGGGACCATAAGTGCCCTTCCCAGGGCATGGAGGCTCAGAGATCACCCTTCCCAGGGGACAGTCTCTTCCTCTTTGAAACTGAACTCATGTGGGACACTAAGCCTCCATGCCAACCTTTTGATTTCTGCCCCTCTGTGACTCTGGCCAAACTGCCATTACTACTGTGTTGGAACGGCGCCATGGCCTCTGGGACACCCCACTCACACATGAGTATCAGTGGAGCCATCTTGGGCTAGATCCCAGGAGGACTGAAGTGTGGTCCAGAGGCCACAGTGTGGTCCAGAGGCCTTTAACCCCTTCTCCTCCCCGCATCTGAGGCATCCTGGGTAAGCACCCAGTGTTGCTGGAGTGGAGTCTGATCCCTTCATGCCCATGTCCAGAGCCAGCCAGTCTACTCTGGACTCACGATGACACCAGCTGCGGACAGTGGCTCTCGCTCTCTTGTAAGTGTGGTGACTAAGGATGACCCTGCTCAGAGTCTGACTAGGCGGGGTAGGAGACACTGTCCCGCCCGAGAGGCACCAGGCCCCCAGAGTCTGTCCCTGTGTGGGCAGGTTCTGCAGGTACAGGATGCAAGCCCTCTCACTGGGGCTGCCCTCCTCCTCTCCCAGCAGATGAAGGCTACAAGCTCACGGAACGAGGGCAACACTGAGCAACTATTCACATTAGTGAGGAATGGTGGGCGGATGGCCCCGGGACAGATCTCAGAGCATGGTGGGAACCGGAAGGGCTGTGGCCGGCAGAGGACCAGGAAACAGCCCATGAGTGTCTGAAGATGCAGCAGTCTGCAGCCTTGAGATTCAAGATGCCTGTGGGGATGGGGAACCACCGAGCCTGCCCCATGGCCACATAAGCCATGAAGAACAAGGGAAAGACAGGCGTTCCATGTAGCTCCAAACCAACTTTCTGGGCACAGGTGTGCTATCCCCACCCTCCAGATGTGAATCGAAGCTGCCCCTGGCTCATGGCCTAGAAGCTAGTGTGGCCAGGAGGCAGAGACTCACCACTTGGCAGCGCCAAGGTGCCCGCCGTGATCAAGGCATCAGCAACTCCGATGGGCTTTCATTTAACTTTCTCTTTATTATAATTACTTAGAAAACTATTAAATGTAGTTATTAATCATTGAGTAATTATTATCTGCTCTTGTATTAATTATCTGGCCACCGGGAATGTCACCAAGATTTAAGATTTTTAATTGTTAATAGTATTTCCCAAATACAAGAGGAATTTAGTGCAGTTCAGGTAAGGAGGGCCGTGGCCGCCTGGCTGCAGGGCCTCTGCTCGTGTCCACATGGCTGAGGCCTCACCAGCACATTTGTGGCCCCAGCAGGGTTCTGGGGTAACTAAACCCTAACTCCAGTCCCATCCTCTGAGCCTTAAGCCCCCCACCCCCAGCGTTTTGCTGTGCTCAGGCGCCCCTGCCCAGTGTAGGCCGGGGGGACAGGAGAGGGGCCGCCTACAGCCCTGCTGTTCCAGCTGAGCCTGGGCTTCCCAGAGTCCCCAGTGTCCCCAGCAGTACAGACACTGCTTCCAGGGGTACTCCTGTCTGTGTGCCCTGGGCAGCCCTGCAAGGACAGGGCACAGGGCACACTGTGCCAGCAGCCGATGGGCTGGGAAGCCCAGTGGGACATCCAGCACCGAGAAAAGACATTACATGGCATGGCCCACCACCACGGGGGGCCCAGCCACCTGCTCACTTCCCACGGTCCTCCTTGAGGTGACTCAGAAAGGACCCCATGACGTCAGTCCACAGCGCCCTTGGTGGCTACCCACGAGCGGCCTTGCCCTCTGGCCCCAACCGCCTACTATCTGTGAGCACTGTTTCACTCTGCCCCGTGTAAGGGTAAAGCCTGGGGCGGGAACCAGCACCGGGCCTCTGAGTGCCTTGCCTTGTGAGTGCAATGTAGGGAAAGGCTCAAGGAACAACTGGGTCCCTCTCCCAGGCCCGTCCTTCTAGAGAGGAAGTGATAAGCCCAGTGGAGGCGTGCAGGGCAGACAGAGATCTGAACGCTCCTGCCCATTCCCTACCTCACTACTTCTTCTGCCCCAGCCTGGTCAGCGACAGAAGCTGGGTCGGTATTTCCAGGCACGGTGGCACATGCTTGTAATTCCATCACTCAGAAATCTGAGGCAGGAGGATTGCTGCAAACTTGAGACCAGTCTCTACTACATAGTGAAGGCCTAGGCTAGGCTACAGAGTGAGACCTGTCTCAAAAGAAGAGGCGGAGGGGGAGGAGGAGGAGGGGAGGGAAGGAGGGGGAAGGAGGAGGAGGAACAGGAGGAGGAG